CTTGGTTTCGTGGTTTGGCAAAGTATTGGCCTCCACCACCATAGGGGCCAGAGCTTCTGCCTCCAAAATTTCCTCCTTTCATGGGTCCAAAATTTGAGGATTGATTGTTGTAACTGCCAAAATCATTATAGCTTCCGCCACCTCCAAAGTTGCTTCCATCATTACCAAATCCGTAAAAACCTATTTTTATTGGAAAGCATGTTATTGGGGTCAAAAGTGCTTTCAACTTTCGTATTAAAATCACCCAGAAGCATCATCTTCAAATATAAAATATAAATAAAATATAAATATAAATTCTTTATGAAAAGAAAATGCTGTGAACAAGTCAAAATTATCTTGGGAAGATAAGGAAGCAATGTGCTGACAATATTAATTTTAATTTTCTCAATTAGGAAAAATAAACTGGTAAAAGCCTAATAATTAGTGCAGGGTCCCATGCAGGGCTTAAATCTACTGCAGTGTTATCTTTTTACAGCATACATTAGGGAAGTAATGGTAGAGAGGCAGAATTCATCACCTGATAAGTGAAAAAGAAAATTTCCTAGTTGACAGCTATATTGCATTCACATAAAAAAAAACTTGAAAGAGATTCCATTCCTCCTGAGCTCTTTAAACGGTTCATTAACGCCACTTAAAACACATCACCTTCTTCAACACACAGACCTAAATCTAATGAGCAACAGTTGTTTACCAGCTGGCATGTGCTCTGAATGATTCAGGGGCAGGAGAAAGTATATTGGGCTATTTTACTTGGTAACATTTAAAAGTTTGTGGTGTTTAATGTACTTAAGGTCACTGAACTGTACACTTAAAAATGGTTAAAATGGTAAACTTTATGTGATATATATTTCACCATAACATACATAAAAGTACATAGCTTTCATGTTGGCAAGTTGCAACAGAACATTGCCAGTATAAATTAATTGGTGTATTTTCATCTAAAAGGAGTTTTTTCAGGTGGTTTTTTAAAAATATGGTAACACAACACCACACTTATCACAAGGTTCTTTCTTCTGGGGTTGATCATTTGCCCAGCAAGAATCCTAGTCAGGAAACAGCTGTGTTTCTCAGGTGAGACTTACCTACCATTACTCTATTACTGCGAACGCTTGAGTCATGAGTGACAAAAATAAAGCCTAAAATTACTGAATCTTATTCAAAAGACTATTTTCTTCATCTAGCTCTTAAAGTAGAAAACCATAAAAGTCTAACAAGATTAACCCTTATTTTATAAGAGAAGGACTGGAAATTTAAAACTCTCAGGGCCAAGAAAATCTACTACAAAAACCATATTAAACATGTTTTTATGACCTTCAGAAGACAGGTCAAAATGTCTTTTCTTGTGATATCTGAAAATTATCTGCTCCTTAAAGTCATCAAAGTATTCTGCTTTCTATTTTTATTTATTTTTTTGGCAGACTTGTTAATAGGGTTAGAAACGGAAAGGGTTTAAGTATTCATACCTATATAACTTGTATGTCTGGGCATTCCATAAAACAACCGTTCCATCAGCTGCCCCTGATACCAAACAAGTGGAGTCTGGGGAAAACCGGCACACCCTCACGGGGCTACCAGTAGGCTGTTCCATCACGGCCAAAGTCTCTCCAGTCTGAGTGTTCCATAGGACAGTGGTACCATCTGTTGAACAGGAAGCCAAAACATGTCCTGAAGGGGAGAAACAGCAGCAGTGGACAGCATAGGTGTGAAACTTCAATGGCGAGTGGGGCAGCTCGGTAAAGTCACTTAGGGAGTACAGGCGAATTGTTTTGTCCAAAGAGCAAGTAGCCAAGAGGGAAGAGGAGAACGCACAGCAGTTGACATCATCACCGTGATCGGCTAACGTGTGAATTAGTTTCACCATGTTCTTTATTTGAAGTAAAATGTCCTGCAATTTTTAAATAAAGGTTACTTCATCCTTAGAATCAAGTAAATGTAACTCAAATCCATATAAAGAGTCAAAATCAATTTAAGGATTTGCTCAGTCAAAGCTCCTACATTCATATTTTTAAAGGACAAATTATTATACCTGAGATAAGAATAATTTGGAGAGAAAACATCGATAAGACTATAAAGTTTGATGATGATCACAGTCACAACTGACACACCAATAAAGTTCCATTAACTCCTGAAAAAGAACCTTGTCAAATAACTTCAAACTGATTTGACACTGAACACCCAAAACATTGGGTATTTATTTCACCTCTGAAGCCTTTCCCTCAACTAATTACTTCTCAAAAATGCCTCATTCCAGATCTGCTAATCTCAACTCAAAAAGATTTTCCACTCTTAACAAACTGTCTCAGCTGCTCCTTCCACAGAACGGAGCCAAGGCTCTACAGCTCTGCCTTTGAGATGCATTAACTGTCCCGTTCACTCATAAAAACTAAGAAATGGTTTCATTCAAAATTTCAGCGGCAGTGCTGAAAGCTCCCATGTCATGGTCGGCCACCTTGTTTGATAAAGAACAAAATGGTATAAAAGATTCGAGGTGAAGAACCAGTTTAATAAATCCAAGGAAACCAAGAGAAGGAAACCAAAGAGAAAGAGTGGCAAAAAAAATGAACATAGCCAGACTGCACTTAAGAACAAATTTACAAATTTAGATTAAAATCCAAACCCTTCATCACAGCTTACAAAATGCTGTATGTATGATCTGGCTCTTGCCTGCCTACTTCTCAGATCTGAAGTCCCGCCCCTTCCCCTTTCCCTCATTTCCTTCCAGCCTGCCTGGTCAAATGGATTCCGTCTTAGATCTTCACAAAGCTGTTTTCCCAGGCTGAAATTCTCTTCCCTTTGCTTTGGGATCCTATTTCTCATTCAGATCTCAACTTCAGTGTCTCCCCTCAGAAAGGGTTTCCTAGTCTAAAGCAGCCACCCTCCAGGCTAATATATCACCCTGTTTTAATCCTCAGTGTAGCAATTACCACCATCTGATGTATTTATTTGTCTCCCCACCACTAAAATGTAAATTCCAAAGGAGTGGAGATCCTGTCCATCTTGCTCATTTCTGTATCCATAGTACATAAAACAGTGTCAGACACCTAACATGCTCAAATAAATATTTGATTATTTTTTTCCAAATCCACTTGAGTTCTACCTCTAAATTTCATATATGAACACAATATAAAATTATCAGAAAACTTAAAGCTACCAATACTTAAAAAATCCAGCAGTGGAAAAATAATGCAAAATGAAACAATAATCGGCCCTGAAGGAATAGGTATACTCTTAGATTGTAATTCATAATCCCTTGTTCCAATGTTATTTGCAGAACTCTTTACAAATAGAGCGTATCTTTTCCAATATTTATTGTATCCCCAAACTTCAGCCTCTTTTTTCCAAACATAAATTTCAATAACGTCTAAATAACACGCAAAAAACAAAAACAACCCACGAAATGTCCTGGTGGATTGTCACCTATATTACCGCACGGAAAACAAGCAAGATCATGAGGTCTTTCTGAAGAACTCCCAAATCCCAACTGTGCAAGTACACTAGGTAATCTTGCAAACAAACTTTGGCTTCCACACCCTTGTGGCACTCAGCTCCCTTTGCAGTTCTAGACCAAACAGTTGGAAGAACAGAGACATAATCACTTAAATGAACAGTCTGTTTTGAAAAGCACTCTCAAGCCTACCACCACCTGCCTCGGGGTGTGGGCATCCATTCAGCCGTCACTCTGAAGGCTCAATCCCTGGGCCGGTCAACTTACCGGTGTCGACACACGCATCCCTATCTAATCCAAAGCAAACGGAAATGTGCCCCAAATCTCCCCCAAATAAAGCCCCGAGACCTACGCCCCCCATACGCAGGGACCAAAGGTGTACCCCACTCTTAGAGCCGGCCGGGCCTCAGCGAACTGAGCCACCCAGGCGGGCGGGCGGACAGCTGACGGGGAGCCGGGCCTTTCTGGGCGGCGGCACCCGACCGGGCCCAGCTGCGGCATCCACGCAACGACCGCAGGCCCCGCCCGGCCTCCGGCCTCCGGCCTCCGGCCTCCGGCCCCCGGCCCCCGGCCCTGGCCGCACCGCCGCGCCCCGCTCCCGTCCAGGTCCTGGCTGACCCCCGTCGCGCGCTTGCAACCAGACTGCGAGAACCACAGGGTTCAGACACCTTGAGTAGGGAGGCACCCCGAGTAGGGAGGCACCCCGAGTAGGGAGGCTCCCCGAGCTGATCCCAACCGTGATCTCCCACCTGCCGCCGCCGCTGCTCAACCTGCCCACGGATGCGGCCACGTCCACCTCGAAGACCCAAGGCGCGCGGGATCCGCCCTCAGGTGCCCCCGGGCGCGCGGGGGCCACGTGACGCGCAGGTGAGGCGGGCGGGGCTGGCAACCGCTGAAACCCTAAGAGAAAGGAAACAGGCCCCGCCCCCGAACACGCCCCGCGCCAGCGCGCATGCGTGGCCTCGTACACCTCGGCTGCGGGCGTCTCTTAATTTTGGCCCTAGATCAGCCTGACTTCAGTTTTGGGAAGAATCTTTATTTGCAGTGTTTTCCCAGTTGGGGAAGCTGAAGTCCCAAGGCTTAGCGAGTGCCTGAAATATGGTTTTTAAAGGTGGCATTGTATCAGCTGTCTCGTTATTGCCGCTCAGGGTTTTTGAATCTCCTTCCTCTCCGGTATTTCTCCCCTGTATTACACTGTTCTCCTCGGACCTCCGTGATTGCTCTTTTCTGTTTAGGCTAGCTCTGTCCTCAGCGGTCCACAACCTGGTGTTTTCTGCCATCATCTTTGTACTAAGGTTTCCCACATCTCCTCAGGGCAGTCTGCTCGCCCCTGAATCCGAGGGCCCTGTTCATTGAACGGAAACCAACTCATAGGTACAGAAAACAAGCAGGTGGTTGCCAGAGGTGGGGGATGGGCAAAATACTGGAAGGGGATTAAAAGATACAATTTACAGTTATAAAATAAGTAAGACTCAGGGAGACAATGTACAGCGCCCAGCAACATCTGGTTGTGCCTGTCTCTCCACATTCTTGACAGACTAATATTTAATATTCACTAATTTGATGAGCAAATTGGTTATAATATTCTTTAAACTATGTAAAAGAAACTCCTGCCTACACATGCCAGTCGTTCAGCACAGAGACCTCGAGGCCGATATGGTTAGTTTTAGGGAAAGGCAAGTTCAGAGAGGGAAGCCTTCTTGTAGCTGGTCTCTAGTCTAATGAATTTGCAATTTATGAGATGTTAATTAAAATATCTCGCCAATATACTAGAAAAACATTTTAAGAATTTGTAGAGATCTTTGATCACATAAGTGAACTGGCTATCTTATTTTACAGAACAGATTGAGTGTCAAAATTGTTGGAACTTTAACTTAGAATCTTAAAGATTTGTATTTTATGCATTCTTTGTTTTATGTAACTGTGGTCAATAGTTAATCCTTATCTTTAATTTCCAATTATCTTTAATTTCCAATTATTTTTTTTTTAAAGATTTTATTTATTTATTTGACAGAGAGAGACACAGCGAGAGAGGGAACACAAGCAGGGGGAGTGGGAGAGGGAGAAGCAGGCCTCCCGCCGAGCAGGGAGCCCGATGTGGGGCTCGATCCCAGGACCCTGAGATCATGACCTGAGCTGAAGGCAGACGCTTAACGACTGAGCCACCCAGGCGCCCCTATTCTTTTTTTTTTTTTTTAAAGATTTTATTTATTTGTCAGAGAGAGAGACCGAGAGCGTAAGCAGGCTCCCTGCCGAGCAAGGAGCCTGATGTGGGACTCATCCCAGGACCCTGGGCTCATGACCTGAGCTGAAGGCAGATGCTTAAGGGACTGAGCCACCCAGGAGTCCCACCAATTGTTCTTTGTAATAGTGCTACTTAAGGAATATAGAAAACCATTTTACTTTTTAAGAAGATTTTTATTCATTTGAAAGAGCAAGCGAGTGCGAGAGCACATGAGCCAGGGAGAGGGGCACCAGGAGAGGGAGAAGCAGACTCCCCTCAGAGCAGGAAGCCGGAAGTGGGGCTCCATCCCATGACCCCGGTATCATGACCTGAGCTGAAGGCAGATGCTTAACCAACTGAGCCACCCAGGCACCCCAAGATTCATGGTTTTTTTTATTACATAAGAAGGTATGACAGACACTGATGTCCCTTTGGACAGTTCTCCTCTGGACAATTCTTCTGAAGTCCCCCAGCAGTCTTTCTCTCATGTGCCACTGCCCAGAATTGTATCACATGCCCATTTGTTAAGCAATGACTTTCAAGAGGAATGGAATTGCCATTAATTAAGATTCACTCTCCTGGAGCTAGAAAAGGGCCCAATTTTCCCTGAACCAACATATACAAGAGCGGACAGAAGGAAATAAGGAGACAAGACAGCTACTACATACAGTTAAAGTATTCCACATGGAAAATATCTATACAATAGAAAGCTATTTAACTTAAGAGAATAGATGTGAAAGTAAGCCACATCTCAATTACGTTATGCCTCAATCTTTAATCCTTAAACAGTATTATTTAGTATATTCACCAGTTATATTTACCAGCTAAATTTACCATACTTGGTTGGGTTTTGTTTTTTTTTTTAAGATTTTATTTATTTGAGAGAGAGAGAGCACAGGCAGACACTTAGCCAACTGAGCCACCCAGGTGCCCCTGGTTGGGTCTTTTTAAATGTTAATATAAAAATAATGCACATTTGTTGCAAAGATATGATATATGGATAAGGAAGATGACAAAGACGTCATCTTCCCAGATTCTACCAGAGAAGAAAACACTGTGAACATTTTTATACATCCCTTCAGAATTCTCCCCATACTAAGTGCATTAAATATATTTTAACAGAATTACTATATTCTATAGTGTAACCAGTTTTTTCACTTAATTTACCAACATGAACATAGATCTACATGATAGTTTCTTTTTAAAGATTTATCCATTTATTTGAGAGAAAGGGAGAGTGTATACACACATGCGAGGGCAAGTGGGAGGAGGGGGAGAGGGAGAGAAGCAGACTCCCCCCCGAGCATGGAGCCCCAGCAGGGCTGGATCTCATGACCCCGACATCATGACCTGAACTAAAACCAAGAGTTGGACACTTAACCCAGTAAGCCACCGAGGCACCCTCCCATGATAGTTTTTGGTGGTTGAACAGAATGTTTTTAAAAAGTCACTCCTATATTAAAAAGAATTGAGATTTGCTATAATGAAAAGATTCAGAAAATTACCAATGCTGAAAGCAGTATTTTAAAAGGAGTTGTAAACATATTTTGAGAAATGGAGGAATCATTAGAATAAGTAGATAGCCTCTCAAAGCGTTATACTGTCTCCATACAAACCTGTGTTGTGTAAATGCCTCACTACCCTTTGGTGATCTAATGAACTCACTGAGCTTTCCTTTCACTTCAGAACCCAAGATATATTCTCAATTGGCTCTAAGCCTTAGGCCTCTATCATTCACTACTGAATTCTCCCTCAAGATTCACCATATTCTTTGATATCCACCACCCTGATTATTAGGGCTGTTTTTTTATTAAAGGAGATGGTAAGGAGTCTGTTCAGGGAAAATAAGAATACCCTTAGAAATCGAGCTTGATACTTTAACATATTTTAATTAAAAATTAATTTTTTTTAAAGTTCAAGAATGGGGGCACCTGCGTGGCTCAGTCAGTTAAGAGGCTGTCCCTTGATTTCATCTCAGGTCATGATCTCAGGGTCCTGGGATTGAGCCTCACATCAGGCTCCTTGCTCAGCAAGGAATCTGCTTAAGGATTCTCTCTCCCTCTGCCCCTTCCCCCTGCTCGCTTGAGCACGCACACTCTCTCTCTCTCTCTAATAAATAAATCTTAAAAAAAAAAGTTCAAGAATGAACTACATACAACTTACACCTCACAACACTTTTAGTCATCCAATGACAACAGCTCAAATGATTTTCACATGTATGGTCAAGGTAGAGAAACTATAAACAGATCTCAGATATTAATTTTGCTACTACCTCTCCCTTGATTTATTTTTTTTAAAGATTTATCTATTTATTAGAGATAGAGTGGGGGAGGCAGAGGGATAGGGAGAGAGAATCTCAAGCAGACTCCCAGCTGAGTGCAGAGCCCTACTCAGGGCTCAATCTCACGACTGTAAGATCATGACCTGAGCTGAAATCAAGAGTCGGCCACTTAACCGACTGAGCCACCCAGGTGCTCCTGCCTTCCCCCTTGATTTAAATGCCAAGGTGCAAAATTCTCTTCCAGTGAAGGTCCAGAGGATCCAAGTTAGCTTTTCCTCTAACCCTGTAGTTAGCTAACTCCTTACCCACCACACTTCCAAGCACTACTTTTGCTATAGTAACTCATAAAATCTACGCAAGTCCCAGCAATACCTAAGAATTCTCAATATTTCTATTCACCTGCATATACCTGAGCTTTTTCTTTAGCAATATCAGCTTTCCCAACAAACTACAGCAAAGGCAAATGTTTCATCTCCTGAATATCACGGGCTGAAAGTAAAATTTGGTGCCGTTCTTACAGTCCCTAGAAAGCAGATAGGGTTAGAAATGATACTTACATAAAAAAACAAAAACAAAAAACAAAACTGCAAACATGCACATTGAAGCTGCTAATATGAGTAAATTGCTTGATACTTTTCAAAACGTGGTATTCAAATTCAAAATCTGTAATAAATTGTTAGTGAAAAATAATACAAGCAAATATTGAACACTCATTGGGAGGTAGGGAAAAAGAATCCTCTTTCACTGCTGGTAGGTGTGTAGACTGGTGCAATCATCTGGAGAGCATTATGGTAATAGCATGGAACGTGTGCACATACCTAACCTGTGTACATCCTAGAGAAACTCTTATCACACACAGTCTGTTTTCTATTGCTGTGTAACAAATTACTCAAAACGGAGTGACTTAAAACAACAATACTTGTTATCTCATAGTTTCTGTGACTTGATAATTCAGTAACATATAGAAAGCAGTTCCATTGCTATATACTAATAACAAGCTATCAAACAAAAATGAAAAAAATAATCCCATTTACAATTGCATCAAAAAGAATAAAATGCCTAGGAATAAATTTGACAAAGGTGAAAGACCTGGAAACCAAATACTATAAGTACTGATGAAAGACACAGGTAAGTGCAAAGATATTCCATGATCATGGATTGGAAGAATTAATATTGTTAAAATGTCCATAGTATCCAAAGCAATCTACAGATTCAATCCTCGTCAAAATACCAATGGCATTTTTCACAGAAATAGAACAAACAATCTTAAAATGTGTTTGGAAGCACCAGGACCTGGAATAGTCAAAGCAAAATCTTGAGCAAGAAGAACAAAGAGCTGAAGGCATCATGCTTCTGGATTTCAAAGTATAACCCAAAGTGATGGTAATCAAAATAGGATAGT